ACATGTACATATTTTTAATATTATCTTATAGCATTACCTGGTTTGTCCATCACTTTCCAAATCAGTTACAATAGGCAAAGGACTGAATAAAGAATTTAAAAATAATGACACCATTAAGAATTTTTCCTTACAGTTTTTCATTTCTAAGAGGGAATTTCTGATTGGCATAATTCTCTCTCGCCGCCCTTTCCTCAGTAGTTACGTTCAGTACTAGTTTAAACTCTAGGCTATCCTGTGATCTTAATAGGAACGCTAATACTGAACAAGATATGAAGAGGAACAGTATCTCTTGAAATGTGATCCATTTGAATACACCAGGACCATCCATATTGCATCACGATGACGATGGGCGGGCCATGGCACGCCCTCATTATTAATTATATAGTAGACTAGCGCTAGCTGATATTATTTTAATTAATTAAAATGAATTAAATTAAACTAAATTAAATTATTAGCTAGTCTACTATAAAATAAATTATTATATAGCTACTATTAAATAGGACATAGCCTAGGCTTAATTAGTTTAAACTAAATTTAAATTCTCTGTGCCCCGAGCTGTGGCCAAAATAGTTAAATCATACTAGACTAGATCTAGATGCTGAAGAACTTCTAACATTAATATCTGATGCTGCATCAGTTCTACTAGATCTAGTTACTGTTCTTTGAGTTTGAGATGCTGTAAAATACCTTCTGGATATTCTTTGAGATGCTGAAGAACTTCTTATATGAATATTTGATCCTGTAAGATACCCACTAGATGCTGTTCTTTGAGATGTTGTTGATGAACTTCTTATACTAATATTTGATCCTGTAAGATACCCACTAGATGCTGTTCTTTGAGATGTTGTTGATGAACTTCTTATACTAATATTTGATCCTGTAAGATACCCACTAGATGCTGTTCTTTGAGATGTTGTTGATGAACTTCTTATATTAATATTTGATCCTGTAAGATACCTACTAGATGCTGTTCTTTGAGATGCTGAAGAACTAACATTTGATGCTGCTGTTCTTTGCAAAGGCTCCAATAAGTGTCTTGATGGTGCACTTGATCTAGCAAAATCTTCCTTCATAATCAATTCACATATTTTTAAATTTTTGGCTACTGAAAATGCGGCAAAAGTTGGATCAGCTTTCCATTCCAATAATAATTTAACTACTTCATAATGTCCTTTAGCACTGGCAATCATTAAAGCAGTAACACCGTCTTTGGATTGAACATTAGGATCAACTTGTTCCTTCAGCAACAGTTCAACTATTTGAGAGTGACCATTTTCACAAGCAAACATTAAAGCATTCACTCCATCTTCTTGCCGTTGATATTTATAATCAGCTCCTTTACTGATCAATAGCTCAACTACCTCATAATTACTATGGTAGCTAGCAATCATTACAGCATTTGATCCTATTGATGTCTTCAGGTGAGGATTAGCATTAGCTTGTAGTAACATGTGAATGACTAAAATGTCATCATTTGTACTTGCTATCATTAGTGCAGTCCATCCTTCATTGTCCTGAATGTTAACATTAGCTCCAGCAGACAGTAAACTGTGTACAATGTCCTCATGTCCTCTTTCACAAGCTAACATTAGTGCTGTCCTGCCTTCTTCATTAGTATGATCAATATTAACAGTTTGTTGAAGAAGAAACTCTACTGCTTCATTATTACCAGCTGTGGCTGCTTCAAGGAGAGCTAGTTCAAAGGTGAAGTTTATATTTTCACTTTTGTATAGAAAAGGATGATCATTAATGTATAAACTAAATACACCAATGAGATGCATAAACTGTAAATTTTCTACTGTATATTCTATTAGATTATCAGCTGTAATGTCAAGAATATGTAACTTGATGACAACAGATCCTGGCTCAATAGTGATGCATTTCATTATTGACTGTCTAAGTTCTATTGGAAGTAATTTTTTAATCAATATATATAATCCATTGATTTTAACATCATTCCAAGGATTTTGTAGCTCAATACAGATTAATGGCATACTCTCCAAATGTCGTCTATAAGGTCCATACACTTTACGTAGCTTTTGTTTCAGTTCAGTGATTGGTCTTGATGAACGAAATGCATTAGCTTTTAATGAATAAGCCTTCAGTTCATCAAGTAGATCTTTTTCATCACTTATAAACTCATTACACATAGCAACTATCAGACTACAGTCAATGAAATCATAATTGTGGTAGACCTTTCTGAAAATATCATTTAAATCACTATTTAACGCACCACATTCCCAGTGAAGGTAACTCTCAATCCAATTGGATATTTCAAAGGATAGTCGGGAATTTTGTACTGTTTTTTCATGAAATGCTGATTTTACTTTTTTCATAATGTGTGAAAAATTTGCTTGTAATTCATCCAAAGAGTCTTGAACTGCTTGATCTTTTTTTGGAAAAAATATAGTTTCAACATCTCCTAAAAACAAGAGTTTTAAATTCAGCATCCACTATTCAACTTCGTTGAAAGCAACTTTGTGGTTACTTTGATGTGTTGTCATCTTGATGCCTAAAACCACAGCATTGCTTTCAATGAAGTTAAATAGTGGATGGTAAGCTTTAAAGATATATATTTGCACTCTGTCCAAAAAGATAATTTCAACTGATTTCAAATTTTTTCACTGTAAAGATGAAACTAATTAACTGCTACCTTTTATCAGTTCCAGTCATTTAGGTATAATATATTTTATGCTAAACAGGTGTATAATTATTTTATTAAAAGTAGTTCATGTCATTCATCCTATACAACTTACCATCAGAGCAAGATGTTCTTGGTGATAATGATGACAATGTAGAGGCAGCATCACTGTATACATGATCTTTAATATCTTGAGCTAGTTTATTCTGATTTCTACTAGTCAGTGCATCAATGACATCTCTCCATGTTGCTTTAGAATTGACTGATAACCATTTTGAGTATAATGCTAACTTTTTGTCTTCAATTGTTACGTTTTCTTTTTCAATTTTTGTAATATCATACTCTTTCATTCCAACTAAGCATAAACCAAATGGCTTCCAGTCAACAAGTGGTTCAAGCCATTGAATTAATAATGAAATATCAGGTCGATCATCAATCATAGGACCAGGATTGAGTTCAACATCTCCTGATAAGAGGAGGAGCATACGTAGACAAACAATCAAATAGAGATCATTGTAAATCAGGTTAGAACTGCTGCCTCCAGGTAAGACTACTGACTGGAGGTAATTTGTATCAGTAACAGTAACACCAGTAGTACATTGTACTTGGTAGCAGTTACCTAATAATAAAATACCAGTAAATATACAAGTACAAAGTTGCAATTGTTGTTTACCTGCTGGAGGAATCATCAAGATGTGTCTTAATAAAGAGAGAGAGAGAAAGAGGAGGAGGAGTAAAGCAATAAGAGACAGAGCTGCTGGCAGTTTAGATGTCTTCTCTCCTGATGTAGTACTGCCTGACTTGCTGTCTACTGCAGCTTTGAATGAGTGAGAGTGGTGGCCATTAGCTGGTCTACCGGAGGCAGCTTGACAGTAGTTCCACAGTCCAATACTTGCTCTCCATTGAGAGACATCAATCATCTTGTAACTATTAGCGTTACTTTTGTAATGGCGTGAAAGTACCTATAATATCCAGTCACTTATATCATAAAGTGCAAGCACAGCAGATGACTGCATACTTTATTGTTGCTCAAGTGATACAAATTCATTCAGTTATGCTAGATCTGTTTTACTCTACTACAGTTATTATTGTAATATGACCAAATTTGGTGATTTCACAAACTCTCTCTACTATGCCCACTCACTTCTATTTCTGCAAAAGAGCGGGCAGGGTTTATTTGTGTTACCAAGAGTACATAATTTACTCTATTATGTTTCAAGTTTCAACATAAAATGTGTCACCTTGCTTTGATGCATTGCTGTTAAAGGGCAATAGAAGTCAATGAACAAAAATCCTTAAAACTGCAATCAGGAGCCCATCAAATGTTAAGGTGAATAGGTCCATACTCTAGAACCAGTATAAAGGATAGGTATACTTCCACATATTCATTTTCATAGTCTGCGTAGGACTATACATGTAGCTAAACATTTGCTATCTGAGAATATTTTAATCGTATGTGTACAAAAAGAATCATCTCCTCCCATTCAAAAAATATATTTCAAATAGTGCAGTATAGTATATTGATAATTATAACTAGTCAATTAACCATTATAACTATTAATAACCACACCTACAAGTTATACCATAGATATTAGAGTTACAGGGATAGGAAACTTCCGTTCGCGGGAAATCAAGCTACCTTCCCCATACCGTATTAATTCTTTCTAATTGTCAGTAAATTTCATTTTTACACTGAGCAATGGTGGCTAGTCTCTGATGTGCCAGGTCTTTCTCATCGTCTTTCAGTCTGTTCAGGTCCACTGTATCAACTTGAAAATGAACTTGCAATGGAGCCATGTCTATATTCTTCCTTTTCTTTAGTTATCTGATGTTTATTTTATTATTTGGCTCCTCAAAATTAGAATGTTGGTAATGCATCACTTTATTTCAAGTGTCTCAAACAAAAAATTTTTTGAGGTACTTAGAGTATTTAAAAACAACTGCTAATGGGTGGAAGACCCAGGATAGGTTATAAACTTTCTGTAGATGGGGCCCTTTAGGCACTAGAACGTCCAGTTCTTGAGATAGGCGTTTAGAAGCAAAACACAGCAAATTTGCTTTATTTGTGTGTAAAACACCACCAA